GCGGAGCCGGCCAGCGTCCGCGCAGCTGGACTCCAGCTGAGGACAATGAGGCCGTGTGGCCGCAACCGCAGACAGGCTTACTCGGGAATCCTCGTGGTGCCTCGGGGCGCTCTCGGGGCTCGAAGGCAGAGGCTCCCCCCAAGTGCTCCCTGAGTGACCCGGGGAAGAGTGAGGGAGCGCCCTGAGCCTCGGTTTCTCATCCGTAAAATAGGGGAAATCGTACCAGCCCTACCTGCGTCGTGGGTTCTGCGAATTACACGAACGTGACAATAGATGGGAGCGCGCTCTGTAATCAGTTAGACGAAAGCCTTTACTTCAGGGAGCACGAAGGTGTTCTTCCTTCCTTTCTCACTCACCTGGAGCTGTCTTGGCGAAGAGGTGCTGATTATTTCCTTAGGGAAATGAAACTTAGAAGCCACTTACTGTGGTTATTTCCTCAGGATGTTTACGTCAGCTTCCCTGAGCCTGGCGTGTGTGTCTCGTCGAAGGGAAGGCTTGGTGAGGGGGTGGAGATTGGGGTGAGGCTGAGCCTGAGTCCTCTGAGAACCACCACTTAGACCTCCAGAACAGAATTCTTGTGTTTTTTTCACCTGGTTTATGGACTCAAGCCCTACTAATTTGAGAATGAGGAGGGAGTGCCCTTGAAGATTCCAGCCCAGATGGAGGGCTCGGAATGGAGGGTCCTGGCTGGGGACAGCCACAGAGGAGGCCCAGCCTCAACTTCTTGATTCGGGGCCACCAAGTGAGACACCAAGCAGACAGGAAAGGCCCTCCTAAGACTTCAGCATTTGCATCTTGCCAACAACAGGCTACTTTTGGCCTCTCAACTCTGTTTCTAGGAATTCCATACACCCCTGATTGGGCCAACTGAGGTTTCTTTTTTCAGGTAACTAACATGATGAAGGTAAAATTGTTCTTCCGCTTCCACTGCTGTTGAGGTCTATAACCCAGGTAAACGGGGGCCCTCCTCCTCAGGTTGCTTGTGCTAAGGAACAGCCCTGCCAGACACCACCCTTCTCCTACCTGCAGCATTAAGCTTTCAAATGGTTAATTCAGAAACTGGTTTGGAGAATTGGATGCTTCAGAGTCCCTGGGTCATTCCTGGGAAGATGAATACAACACTTCATGGAAGTAATATGCTTATTATCTTCCCTACTAGATGAGAAAGGCAGGATCTGTACCTGCCTGCAAGTGCAAATGTTCGGTGCCATCACACATCTCAGCCCACATGAAGGATAAGCTAAAACTCTGACCACAGGAATTCATGGAAAGGTGCCAATTCTGAGGTGCCCGTGACCGTCCGTGTAGCCCAGGTCATGCTCCACAGACCAGAATGCATCAGAATCCTACACAAAGATCAGCAGGGTTTTCTGAAGAAACCCAGGACATCAAAGGCCCTCCTGAGAGTAGGAGGAGACAACTGTGGTGGCAGGAACTCTGAGGGCTGACAGATCTGGTTCCCAGTCCAGCCCTGCCCCAGTGTTCTTGCCTGCAAAAAGAAGCTAGCCTCCGCTTCCCACCTACCTCAAGGGGTTGGTGTAGCCAATGGATAATGATAGTGAAAGGTGACTTGTTGTAAATTGCAGGGTCCTAAGTAGATGTATTGGTAAATGGGTGCTTTCCCTACCTCCACTTCTTGTCTTATCTGTTTGTATCCAGTACTGACTGATCAGGGTATTTTCTGACACTTGACTGCTATTACAAAAGTAACGATCTGGAAATTTTAATGCTCAATTGATGGCTTTAACAAGACACCATAAAACTTGCAAAGC